CAAGATGGCTGCAAGATGGCCCAGGAGAGCCCCAGAGGGGCACAACAGGGGCCCAAGACGGCCCCAAGAACGGACCAAGAGGCGATCGTGAGGGCCCCGATCGGGGCACTGCCACGAAGACTCCCCTTCTTGGATCGACGACCAGCCCCCGAGGTCCCTCCGAGGGCCCCAAGAGAGCCCCAAGAGGGCTCCAAGAGTCCCCAAGAGAGCCCTTCCTGAATGCCTGCAATATGCCCCCGAGAGGCAAGAGGGCCCCACGATCGCCCCAAGATGCCTCTAAGAGGCTCCCAGAGCGTGACTGGATGCTGCTACACATCCCTGATCAAGGCAACTCGCCCGGTGATTATTTTAGGATGAGCTGGAAGGGATTTTTTGTCGCAGCCGAAGACGAAGGCGCCAGCGGCGTCTCAAGTCGGCTCGGGCTACAAGCGGCTGGAAGGTATTTTTTTTTGTCCGCGAGCGTCGCGGTCCAACCGCGCGCCGTCCGGAAACGCGCCTGCTGGAAGGTATACGCGAAGCGGCGTGAAGATTTTTTTGTAAGTAGTGATGAGGAGGGGACTATGGACGAGGAGGTATATTGCAACATCGTTGACGCATATTGGGTTTACACTGGTCTTCTTGTTCCTCCTCGTCCGCCTCCCCTCCTGTTCCTCGTCGTCGTCGTCGCCCTCCTCCTCTTCCTCCTCCTCCTCCTCTTCCTCCTCCTCCTCTCTTTCTTTCCTCTTCCCCTCTTCCTTTCCTTTCCTCCTCCTCCTCCTCCTCCTCCTCCTGTGGCCTCCCCCCGCATCATCCTCCTCCTCAAATCTTCCCCTTCTCCTGCCCCTCCTCCTCCTCCTTCACCTCCTCCTCCTCCCCCTCCTGTCTCCCCCCTCTTCTCGTCGTCGTCGTCGTCCTCCTCCTTCTCGTCTAGGGGCTGACAAGGCCGCAACGATGGGGGCAACATGGCATCCAAAATGGATCCCCGACGAGTCTTGCAGGCTGGGCTGGCCAATTTCTCGGGCTCGAGCAGTGGTGCTGCTCTCTGCAGGACTCTGGCCACGTGGACCCAAAACGTCCCTGGACGGAGTCCATGGGGGGTGGCAGCCTTCACCCGGGCGGCGATCAGAAGCGGGTCTTACGCGAGATGGCAGAGCGACCTTACGCCGCGGCTTACGCGGGCCGCCACCGCGGCAGGCTACATTGGAGACGGGGGCGCTTATGCGCGACCTTGCGCGGGCAGCTTACGCGCCAATGTCGGCGCAGTCGACCCTGTTTTTTCCCGTCGCGGGCCACGCCCCGCGATTGGATCGTGATGGGGCGGCGTCCCCGTGTTTTGAATTCTCATTTTTGTAAAAAAATTGTTGTTGATCCCCCCTCACCGGTGCATATTGTTTTTTCTCAATCAAAGTGCGCCCCTCGACGCTCGCACCCTGTTTTTTGACACGGAAAATCTTGATGCTCAAACTGTGCCCCTGGCCCCCCGGACTACAACAACAACAACGGCTCCCGCCTGAGACTTCCTCCAAATTTACTCAGGACCCTCCCCCTCCCGTCTGTGACTTCCTCTCAATTTACGCAGGAACGGCGCTCCCGCTTGAGGCTTCCTCACAATTTAGTCCAAGTCAAACTGCGTTGTTGCTCCCCCGGGCTGCAAACACAACAACAACAACAACAACAACAACAACAACAACAACAATTACTAGCACGTGGGGACACTCCGTTCTCACCAGTGCCAGGGTTTTCATACGACGCCCGCCAATACCCCCACTTTGTGGGGGGGCCGGTTCAAGCTCTACCACATTTCCAAACGACTCTTCGCCACCACCCACACCCAGCTTCCCGCCCTATGACGTTCGGACACTTCACTTCGTGGCCTGCGGACGACCGTGGCTACTACACTGGCGCATGGGTACAGTGACTTGTTGTGGTAACATTTTCTGGACGCTAGCTTAGTATACGACTTTTCCCCCTGTTCCAACACTGGACACCTGTACTGGTTTTTGGTGGTAACGTGTTCCTGACGCTAGAATAGGAAACCACGGTAAACCAGTACGACGCCGGTACTGTCTGTAGGTCCTACAATGATATGGACTGCTTTGGCTGGTGAGGCGCTAGCGTCTGATACGACGTTTTTCCGTTTCTGTACCACACAAGCGAAGACACTTATTTTGAGTGGTACCACGTGGGTGGCGCCAGCATACCACAGGACTTGTTTCCGTTGTTGTGAGACGATACATGCTCGTTCTTGTTCTGTGGTTGTCGTTCCGGCCTCAATGTGCAATACTGGCTCATTCGTTGTTGGAGGAGTTCGAAGCACGTGAAAAAGTTGCTCGCAAAAGCCCGTTTGACAGAAATGTTTAAAAAGTGTTGGGTTTCCTACAAATCCGCAAGAGCGCGCGGGATGTTTTTTTTGTTAAAAAAAAACATTTTTTTTTTTTTTTTTTTTTTTTTTTGATGTTTTTATGTTAAAATCGTTACGAACACTAAGGTTTTGGAAGGATTTCGTCTTGCGCGCGCGAATGTCCACTTTACCTTATTTTTTGCAAGGGATTCTTGAAGTTTGGTTATGTTAGAACAAGAAATGTCCATTTTTATTTTTTGCAAGGGAAACCGGTAACAAAACAACCGGATCCGGACATCGTTTTGCCTGAGCTTCCTCACGAAAATGATGAAAAATGTAGCTGCGGCCTAGGCGGCGCAGGGGGGGCGTGCACCAGGGGCCCCAACAATAATTATTCTTTAGAAAGTAATAATGTTCAACAACAACAACAACAACAACAACAACAATTACTAGCACGTGGGGACACACCGTTCTCACCAGTGCCAGGGTTTTCATAGGAGGCGGGCAATACCCCCACTTTGTGGGGGGGCCGGTTCAAGCTCTACCAAATTTCCAAACGACTCTTCGCCACCACCCACACCCAGCTTCCCGCCCTATGACGTTCGGACACTTCACTTCGTGGCATGCGGACGACCGTGGCTACTATTCAGGGCCCCGCGGCCGACGACGACGGCGTGCGCGCGCGAAGAAAAAACGAATGTGTCCCGCATGGTATTATTTGACAGGGATGATGGCCCTGGCAGGTGCGCAACCGTTGTTGCAGAAGTTCGAAAAAGTTGCTCGCAAAAGCCCGTTTGACAGAAATGTTTAAAAAGTGTTGGGTTTCCTACGAATCAGCAAGAGCGCGCGGGATGAAATTTTGACCATTTTTTTTTTTTTTGAAAAACCATTGGTTGTTTGATGTTTTTATGTTAAAATCGCTACGAAAACTAAGGTTTTGGAAGGATTTCGTCTTGCGCGCGCGAATGTCCACTTTACCTTATTTTTTGCAAGGGATTCTTGAAGTTTGGTTATGTTAGAACAAGAAATGTCCACTTTAGCTTATTTTTTGCAAGGGAAAACCGATCGTAACAACACAACCGGATCCGGACCAACCCGTTTTGCCTGAGACTTCCTCACGAAAATGATGAAAATGAGGCTGCGGCCTAGGCGCGGCGGGGGGGTCGTGCACCAGGGGCCCCAACAATAATTATTCTTTAGAAGTAATAATGTTCAACAACAACAACAACAACAACAACAACAATCATTTTACCCGAACGCTCAGTGTTCTCCCCAGTGCCAGGGTTTTCATGCGACGCCAGCCAATACCCCCACTTCGTGGGGGGGCAATGCAAGCTCTACCAAACATCCACACGACTCTCGGGAACCACCCACACCCAGCTTCCCGCCCTATGACGTCAGGACACTTCACTTCGTGGCGCGCGGACGATCGTGGATACTACACTGGCGTGGAGTACACACCCGCAGAGGTTGATCACTTGTTTGGGCCCCGCATGTGCCCCGCATGGTGCATTTGTTGCGTATGACATACATAGTACAGAGAGACAGAGAGAGAGAGAGAGAGAGAGAGAGAGAGAGAGCAAGACAGAGAGCCAGTGGAGAGAGAGATAGAAAGATATTCGTCACATGTGTGAGGCAACCTGAGTCTTGCGTTTGCATATGTTTTCGGAACATCGCATCTTGAAATTATTGAAATCACATTATGTTTGGCAGGATTTCGGCACGCGCGCGCGGCGGCCGCGCGCATGTGCACTTCGTGTCATTTTTTGCAAGGGATGGTGGCCCTCGTAGGCTCGCAACCGTTGTTGCAGAAGGTCGAAGCACCTGAAAAGGTTCCTCGCAAAGGCCCTTTTAACAGAAATGTTTAAAATCTGGTGGGTTTCCTAGGAATCCGCAAGAGCGCGCGGAAGGACATTTTGACAATTTTTTCTGAGAAAACCATTGGGTTTTTGATGTTTTTATGTTAAAATCGCTACGAAACCTAAGGTTTTGGAAGGATTTCGTCTTGCGCGCACGAATGTCCACTTTACCTTATTTTTTGCAAGGGATTCTTGCAATTTGATCAAGTAAAAACAAGAATTTTCATTTTCTATTGTTTTTTGCAAGGGAAAACGAGCGTCAACAAAAAACCGGATCCGGAGCTCATCCACTTTTCTGAAGCTTTCGCGAAAAAATGATGAAAATGTAGCTGCGGCCTAGGCGCGGCGCAGAGGTCGCGCACCAGGGGTCCCAACAATAATAATTCTTTAGAAGGAATAATGTTCAACAACAACAACAACAACAACCATCTTAAGACTGTTCGCTCTTACTTGCCCGCGAGTCTTTCAAAACGTATACCCCACACCCTCGATACCCGCCCTCTTTGTCTTCGAACACACCCCCTTTGGGGGGATTACTTATCTTTGCGGGGGCCGGCGGGCTTAGACGGGCGACACGCCGGATCCCTGACGCCCGCGGACTGCGCCGGGCCCCGGCGCGGAGGGCGGCGGGATGGAACGGCGGAGAGGAGGCGAGGCAAAAGAGGGGCGCGCGGTGAAGGGGGAGAGGACAAGGTGGACGGGGCGACCTTCGTCGGCGAGCTCGCAATGGTGCACGCCCTAGTGCTTGCGCCAACGGGCGCCTTGAAAATCCCGAAACTCCGGGAGTCACAGCCTCGCGCCGATTCAGCGCGGCAGGCCCATCACTGAAAGCCCGCCGCAACCGCCGTGCCCGGCTTGATCTTCTTGTGGGGGGGCTCCTCCTCGTCGACGGGTCCCTGGGCGTGGCGAGCCCGCACAGCCGCTTGGAACTGCTCGAGCGTCACGGCGTCCCCTGAGCGGTCGTTGTGGAGAGCATTACCGTGAAGCGCGAAGCCCAGCATGGCGCGGTGGTGCGACGACGCCACGTGGGAGCTCCCCCCTCCGCTGAAGAGAAACTGGGTAGCCCTGACAATGTTGACCTGGGCGGGGTTGATGTACTCCCAGACGATCTTCGCATTCGTGTTGAGGTCATCGACACCCACTGTCTCCGCGGCCGCCACCACGGCGCTCCGGAGCTGGTCGATCCCGTCTTTGCGGTGCTCCTTTTTCGGCGCCAGGATCTTCTTCATCGCCGGAAGGACCTTGTCGATCTCCTGGTACAGCAGGCGCACGATGTCTGGTTTCATGCACGCCTCCACCTGCACACGCTCGCCCTTGAGGTACTCGAGGAACTGTACCTGGCTCTGCAGCCAGCGATTCACGCCGACCCCGCGCCTTTCATCATGCTCGCTGGCTAACTCTGTGGCGTAGACAGCACCCGTCTTTTGCTTCACGTTGCACAAACCCCAGAGTTCGTGGGTGGGCATCACGTCGAATTTCCCACGGCCGTATGCGTTCAGGAAAGACTTCGGGATCGTCTCCCAACTCTTCAGGTATGTGCGCGGCACAGGGGGCTTCTTCCCGTCGTCCCCAGAATTCGCCTTGCGGGCAAACAAATGTTGACACGGCATGTTGCTGCGCCAAGGCACAGCATAGCGAGAGAGGACACAAGACAGAGAAGGATACACGGACACAAGAACGCACGCAGGCCACGCTTGCCAGCAAATCGCAGGACAGGAAAACGCATGGGGGCCAGCCTCGAATGAATCTGGTGCGCGCACTGGGCAGCAGCAGCGGCATGATCACATAGAGACGCAAGCATCAATTAGCAGGCCGCGCCTGCCGCTCGAGGTTGGCGAAGGCTGCCATGCCCGAGGAGTCCGCCATGGCAAAAGCTGGCGCGTGCTCTCGGAGACAACAAGCAGGAAGCCACAAAGGAGCCGCGTACCTGAAACGGCTATCGAACGATTGAAAAAACGATAAAAGTGCACGGGCGCGCCAGCCGGGACAATCTGTCATAGCAGGATGCAACGGACAGCCCCGAAATGGATATCCCGTGCGAGTCTCTTCCGCCCAATGCTGCTCTATGCCGCAATCCAGAGACGGCATGCTATTTCTGGTATGATGTTTTTGCATCCACGACGCCACCACGCGTGCGATGTGAATGGCCTGCGAGCACTCGGGCGCGCAAAGTCCATGGTAGGACCCCCCCACCCCTGCGGTTGCGTCGTCGGCCGCCTGCCCATCAGCTCCACAGCCTTCCCGATTGGATGCCTGGTTGGCTGCATCGTTTGCTGCCTGGTCAAGTGCCTCGTTGGCTGCCTTGTTGGCTGCGCTGTCGGGAGACTCGTCCGCTGCCTGCTCGGCTGCCTTGTTGGCCAACTCGTCAGTTGCCTGGTTGGCCGCCTTGTGAGCTGCCTCATTGGGTCCCTGGTTGCCTGCCTCGTTAGCTGCCTTGTGAGATTCCTCGTTGGCTGAAATCGCGGCCTGGGGGGTGAGTTGCGAGGCCTCTGTGGAATTGGCGCGGTAAGGTCCACTCCGAGCAT